GACTCTGACATATCTCAAAGGAAAACCTCTCCTTCTCAAAAGAGAGATATTAAACTAATTTAGCTTTTGTGATATGCTAATTTATGGGAAGGCTTGTCAAATAACCAGTGGTACTTAACCTTCTTTTAGTTATACTTGAATGCATTTTTTACTGATATATGCTTCAGAAATTAGATGAAGTTCCTACAAACTTAGGATAGACCACTATCCTCCTCCTACTTTGTATTTTAAAATGTAGTATACAAGAGGTATGATCAGAGTTCTTACTGATAGCAACATTATTGTAATGGAATCTCAACAGCTCTTTATCCATGTCCCTTTTTAAGTCTTGTCATTCACAGATGGTTAATTGCTTACTCTGGAACTTTCCTGGGCAACTATAAACCTGAAGTGTTTCATCCTCAAGGATATTCACAGAATAAACTAACAAATGAAGGTTTCAGAAAAACCTTATGATCAAACCACTGGGCTGGGTAAGAATTCCCAGAATTCTAATGAAGAAACTGACTGCTTCATAAAACTCCTACCTCAAGATCAGGAGAAACACTAATAAATTAAGTACCAAAACACTGACTTGGCAGACTTTTGTGCTAACTCAGCTAGTACTGAAATTGTTAAGACATGAAATTTGAACTCCGTAAGATTGACTGAAGTCAAATTACCTATGAGAACCTATATAAAAACTATGCTCTGTAACAGAATTGAATGTATGTATATCCAGTGTTAAGCATGGACTCACAGAGAATCTGGGTGTCTATCTGGTTATTAATAAGTTCTTAAATTTTTCACTATTAAAAGCTGGCACTCCATGATTTATCATGGAAGAGATGAATTGTGAAAAATAATGGTCAAATAACAAAACTGCTTCAATGGTTTGTAACTAATGCTTGGTTTATCAAATACTTAGCATTTTATATCATTTCAAGACTGACAGATATATTTTATTCACTTGTCACTTGTGATACATGAAGTTCTGAATTTGTGGTCTTCTGCTTACTAGGTAGGTGCTCTACCACTTGAGTCACACCTACAGCTGTGTTTTTGCCTTAATTTTTTCAGGAGGAGTCTCAAGTTTTCACTAAGCCAGTCTTGGGCCACAATCTTGGTACCTATATCTCCAGCATACTAGGACCATTGGCACACCCACATTATTAGTTGAGATTGGGGAGCAGGGTCCTACTTTTTGCCTTAGCTGGCCTTGAACCGTGATCTTGCTGATCTCCACCTCCCAAGTAGTTATGATTACAATGTAAATCACTACTCCAATGTAAATCACTACATCACTTTCAATGAATATTCTCTGGTTTTACAGAATATTTCCACTTCAGAAGAGAGAATGCTGAGTAATTGAAAAAATAATATAAAATACATTTCTCTTATGAGACATTCCTAGAGAATTCTCTAGAGGTAGAAGTATGTATTTCACTATACAAGTTGTGAAACACTTACTGCAAATACAATGGTATTCATCATAAGATTATAGGTTAAAAAAACTGAATCTATTGGATTGCCTTGGTCAAAAGTATTACTGATTGACAGGAATCAGATTCACTAGCATCAATAGAATACATAGATTATCTCCTTCTGGAGAAATTACTGGAAGGTCTAGTTCATAATAATAGAACCTTGCATATCAATAACTCTTGAATTCTGATATGATTAGGAGGAGAAGTTTTAATGAATTATGCCCAGGTATATTTTCACTAGTGAAGAAAAGCTCTTCATCTGCACAAACTGATGACAACAGACCGTTCACAACCTAGAACTCAGAACTTGGTCTTTCAGAAATAGCACAGAGGGCCCTTGAAATCTGTTGAACTCTGTACCCAGAGCTCAGTAGTTTATGTCTTTGATATACAACTTGGAACTCCATGGAGACCATCCACAAAACTGGAACTATATGACTATTATATCTTAAGGTAAAACTAACTAGGGAAGTTTACCCAGAAAGAGAGGGTATCCTAAATGTAGGCAGTTTTCCCAAGACTGAGTCAATTTTTCTCTGTCAACATACAAACCCTCCATCTTTTCTCTATTTCCTGATGTCTTCATCTCCTGTTCATTAAAGAAAAAGCCATGGAACTATTAGCAAATACTTAGCATTAACAAGAATCTAGAAATTTTACTAGGTTTGTTGGCTGATGGCCCCAAATCAGGAAACAGTTTCGCTTGTGCCAGTGCCTCTCTGTGTTATCAATAAGAATAACCCTGAAATCTCAAAGAAAGAATGTAAAGCTATCCTTGGTATTATAGACTTCACTGCTACTTGCTTCTCTACACTTGTTGGAATCAGTCTCCTGATCATTCCTGTTACTAATCACCACCAAGTGTAGAAAACCTCTCTGGGTGATATCTGAGCTAGGTGTATAGTAGAACCCCTTATCCACAAGGAATAGCCAGTAATATTTTTCAGTGGACACCAGCCCCTCCCAATCTACCCTCCTGGAACAGTGATATTGACAACCAAGACAGCTACCAAGTGATAAACAGGAAGACAATGTATATATCATGGACACATTAAGTAGACCTGATTTACATTCTAAGTGGAACAGAGAGAGATCGTGTAAACTTGGTCACACTATTCACAATGAGACAAAATTGAAAATTCAGGAATTAACTTTTTCTGGAATTTACCATTTAATAGCTTTGAATTATTACCAACCACACCAAAACCATGGCAACTGAAACCCGATAATAGCGAAGACTATACTGCACTTCCAAACATCTCCTACTCAAGACATGGGAATTACCAAACCAAGTGTTATTGCTTGTATAATATCCAGAAGGTCAGATTCTACTAAATGTGGCTGGTATCTAGCCTGGTATCTAGAAACTGTGATAAACTACCTTTCCCACTTGCCTCTATATGGAGTTACACATTTGTAACTCAACTTAAACAAATGTAACTGACCTCTGCTCCAACGTCACTCCATGGCCCTCTTTTCCAACAACATCCTAGTACCTCCCCTGGGCCTACAAGCAATTAGATTTCTCTGTTATCCCTGGACCCTGTTCAGATATTGCTATTTGACCTGGCTCGCTGCTACCTTCCACGGTGCTTTTCTTGTACATTATTTTAAAAATGAAGCCAAAATAGAACTTAGTTTTAAGCTAGAAATATGTGACTAGACGTTAGTTCCCACTGTGAGAAGGTTTCAGTTGCATTCCTGGGATGCTGTCTCTGTAACAGAGGACTGGCCATTGTACGGAATTTAAAGCTAATCCACAAAGTAGGAGAAAATCTTGGAGCCAATAAGACATCCTAAATATTCAGACAGATAGCAACCACTCTATAAGTAATTCAGAGGGAAGGAGAGGAAGAGAGAGAGGAAGAAGAAGAAAGAAGACAACGAAGAAGATGATGAGGGAGGAGAAGGAGGAGGAGGAGGAGGAAGAAGGGGAGGAAGAAGGTTAAAGAAAAGAAGGAAAAGAAAAAAGAAAAGGAAGGAGAGAAATGAAAAGAAAAAGAAAAAAGGAAGATGGAAATTATAAGCAATACCAGTTGTTCTGGGACCAACCTTTATGCCATCACTCTGTCTAGAAATATCCTGTCTCTCATCCTTTAAGTTTTAGACTGAATGATATTAATTCAGAGTCCTCTTTGACAACCCAAACTAAAGGATCTACTTTTACAAGCCTCTTCTCCATGGCATTTACTATAAGCAGTAACAACTCCATTGACTGACATAGTTATTTATGTATCATTTCTAGGGATGCTGTAAAAAAAAACCCACAAAATTGGTGATTTAAACAACATAAATTTATCATCTCTTCATTATAAAGGCTAGAAGCTCGATTTCAAGGTGTCAGTAGAACCATGTTCTTGCTGGAACACATAGACACCTTTCTTGCCTCTTCCTAGTTGTTGGCTGTCCCTGGTGTCTGGCATTCCTTAGCTGATAGCTGTATCACTCCCAACTTTGCCTCTGTAGTAACATGGTATTCTCCTTGTATTCTGTCTGAATCCAAGTAATCTCCTTGTAAGAACATTGGTCATAGTGAATTAAGAGCCAGCTGACTCCAGTATGGTTTCAATTTAACTTAGCTAATTACATCTTCATGTGGCTATTGTTGGCCTTCAGAATTGTAAGAGAATAAACATGTTACTTAAAGCCTCACAGCTTGTGGTTATTTGTTTCCCTAGCTCTAGGAGGCTACTGAAAGAAATTCTTAGCTTTGTTTAACTCAGGATTTGTTTAACTCAGGATTTCACACAAATAGATGACCAAATAAATATTTCCCCAGCTTTCTCCCAGTGGCAGCTATAAACAAACCTTCATTCCTCAGGGGGGCTGGGAAATCTGTTTTAGAAAAGTTAAAGCTAATCTTCCTATTCTACAGATTAACAAATTGAGATTTAAGGAGGTTAATGCTACCTCAGTAATTTAAAGATTATTACAAAATGTGTCTCCCTTTGGAGACAGTCCCAGAAAATTGGGGGATAATGGATTCATATTCTCTCCCTCTACCTCTCTCTCGGCCCTCCCCCCCATTCTGAGTTCTGCTTACAATCTGTAGCTCATTTCCTCTTTGCTTCTCTGCAGGCACCCCAGGAAATGGCTGCCTGGCACAAGATTAGGCTTGAGTGTGGACTCACCAGAAACAACAGGGCAGTTTTCCTAACTCTCAAGACACTTCTGAGGCATCTACATTGTATTTTTTCCAGCTAATGGGGTAATTTGTCCCTTTTTGAAAGGAGGTTGAGAGTGCTTATCATCACGAAACCAATCACAAATGCATCTGGGTCCAATGTAAAGCAATAACTTGGATAAGCTTAGATTGAGTGCAAATACCATCACAGCTGATCTGCATCCACCCCTGCAGCAGGCTTCTTCAGGCTGAAAATGGGCATCCCTTCATTTGTACCAAAAAAAACTCGTCAGTGCATTTCTTCCCTAAGCACACAGGACTCCCTCCCCCTCTCTCTCCCCCCCACGCCCCCTCCAGCCCCACATACCAGCAGAAGCAATCCCTTCCAGGCCCAATGGGGCTTTTCCTACCTTCCACTTGGTAGGCTGCCGTGGCTGCCCCCCATCCAAAGCCCGCAGGAAAAGCCATGGTCCACAAACCACCGACTTCACCCTCACATCTAAGGATCTTCACGCCCTCAGAGGAGCTGAGCAGCCTTGCAGACAGTCAGAGAACTCTCACTCCAGACCACAGGCCCCAAATCCAATCGACTCAAACAAGGAGCAGGCAGAGGGGGGATTGAAGGGATGGCACCTGAATGACCCCAAATTTGAGGTCTGCAAGTCACTCCCTACAGGAGGAGACTTGATGCTACTGTCTCCCAGCTGTTCTGGAGTCTGACCAGAGTTGGGTCAGCCTGGATGCTAAGTTAATCTTTTCCTTCTTGGAGTAGCACAGGGACTTTTTTTTTATTTAAGTCACATGATTTTACTTGAAATTTCACTTAGCCAGTTCTTCCCAATTCCTGATCCCTAGTCCGTACAAATAACCATTTGTAACTTTCTTTTTTTTCTGGTTACTTATAGGGTGTTTAAAAAATTGGCTGATAGTGCCACTTTTTAGGATTTTTAAAATCATTTATATCTTCATTTCTGGGTATAAGAGTAAAAGGTCTAGTGCCACACTCCCTCCCCCCCTACCCATCCCCCCCTCTCCTCTTCCTACTCTTTCTTTCCCTCTTTCTCTCACCCTTCCTTTCCCCCTCCCTCTTTCCCCTCTCCCTCCCTCTCCTCTCTTCCCTTTCTTCCTTCTACCAGCGGCCTCTCTCTTCTCTGTATCCATCCAAAAATGGTTAGTTTTTCTGATAAATTAACTATTTGCTCTAGCCATGCTTACATGCAACTTTTTATTTTCTCTGAAATTAACTGTCTGTTCTTTGTATTTAATTTCTCTACACCTACGACTGATTCATTTCCAAGCATTCTGACAGAAGTATCAATCTCCAAGTTGTTGGAACAAGCCCGTGTTGCTGCTCCATGCTGCTGTGTTTGCATGGTAAGTAAGCCTCACAGAGTCAGCCCTTTCACATCACTGACTTTGCCTCACCCAGTTGTTTGTCTTTCCCTGTTTTTGTTTTTGTTTTTCTCCTCTGGGAGAGAAATCCTCAAGTTCCTGATAAACAGAACATGCAGATAAATATTTAAGAACCTTCTAGCTGTGGAGTTATCTTCAGTCTCACGTCATACTTGATATGCACGCTGCTTACTACTGGATTTTATGACTGGAATAATTTGCACTCAGAATTTTTGAAGGCCTTGATTTATGGTTTTCTAGCTTCCAGGGGGCTACTGAGGAATCTGATGGCAATCTAAGTCCTCATCTTGTTAAGGAACACGCTTTGTTCCCACGCCCTCCCTCACGGAATCCAGACCTTCTCTGTCTGTTGCTTCAGTCGTGTGCCTTGGTATAAGACTGCTCTTGCTTGTGCTGAGCACCCACAGGATGCACCACCATGATGCAGAATGCTGTGAAATTGACTCAAAATAATACTTTAAAAAAAAAAAAAGGACTGTGGAGAGAAGATTTGGGCATACATGTGAAGAAAGTTACTTACTAAGTTTTGCCCAAGTATGAACCAAGTCCTCCTACATTATATAATCATGAAAACACACGGTCTGCAGACATATGTCCTCTTTACTTATCCTAACTCTCAGAAGAAAGAATCAATTAAATACGGAAGGAAATGAGGAAGTCATAAAAGACATTTAAAAGTACATGATTGGTGAAATACAAGTTTAAAAAAAATCAAGCTATTAAACTTAGCCTTTTGAGTGACTTGGTTCTGAAACAATCTGTAACCCAAATGGAAAATTATATATAAAATATTTTCTTATGAAACACTAGATGGCAGTATTGTAACTTTTTAGGCTCACAAGTGGCAAGAGGATTTGTTATTAAAACTTAGTGTTCTACCAGTGCCCTGTACACCAATCGCCCCTCACAAATTCCTGAGGCCCACATCCCCTAGATGATTCCTCAGGAATAATGGCTATGCCCCCCAAAGTTACTTCAACTGAAATGGCAGATTTGCTCGTTCTCAACCCTGGTTAGATCCTCTACTTTAATCCCTAGCTTTGCCTTTTGGGGTAACTGTTCAAATTCTTTAAAATAATGGAAACTAGCCTGGTGGTGATAACTCATGCCTGTAATCCTAAATACTCAGGAGGCTGAGATCTGAGGATCCCCATTTGATGACAGCTGTTCAGGGAAGTCCATAAGACTCTTATCTCCAGTTAACCAACAAAAAGCCAGAAGCAGAGCTGTGGCTCAAGTCATACAGGGCTAGCACAGAGGGGGGAAAAAAAGCTGAGAGAAAGCACCAAATCCCAAGATTAGCATGAGTAGTAACTATAATAGTAATAATAAGGGTGGCTGCCAAAGAGCTTTATTCTTTAATGTGGGAAAGATATGTACACATACACATATATACATATATAATGTATTTACCACATTGGAAATTAAATTTCAAATTTTTAATATAATCACATTACCATCATTATTATTAAGGTGCTGTACAGAGAGGTTACCATTTCTTAAGTCAGGTAATGAGTATAATACTTTTTAGACAATATTACCTCTTCCTCCATTTCCCCCAGTTTCCCCTTCCTGTCCCTGCCCACAAGTTGCACAGTTCATTGGAAACATGGAGGGTCATATATACGGAATTCCAATGACTGCATTTGTTCACCTTTTCCAACCACAAAAAGGCAAAAAGAAGCCAGCAAAAATGAACACCACCAACAGCTATAACAACATAACATGTTTCCATTTCCTGAAACTTCAGATGTTTTTAAAATATTATTGACTTATTCTAAAACAGGTAATGAAAAGCTTTTTTCTTAGCTCAAAGAGTGGCTCTGTTTTACCTTTTTTCAAATTTCTGGGGAGCCTAGTTTAGTGGAAGACAGCCAGGCCTTTCTATCTGCTTCTCATTTGACTTGCCTGTTTCTGGGAAACCCTACTCTCCTCTTGGAAGAATGAAAGATGAGAGTGAAAAGGGAAAACCTCACATCAGCATTACTATGAAAACAGAAATAAAATTGTTTTAACCTTGTGGATCCCCCAAAAGATCTTGAGGCCCCCAAGTGATCTCTTTAAGAACCTCAGCATTCCCCTTCCTGCACCACCTTCTCTTCAACCTTCCCACCTTCCTCAGACCCCGTTTCACTCACCAAGACCCTGGTGGCTCTAGGACATGAGTCTGAAGCCATAAATAGGTGAGAAAAATTGCCTGTGTTTCTCTAAGCTCTTTGTTCAAGGAATTTGTGACCTCACGGCTCCATCCACAAAGACTGGGTGAAAATTTAGTTTGTCATTATTTGGATCATGTACACGCTATCGCAGGAGCATCCAAGAAAATTAAGAGGCTAAGATCTGAGGATCATAGTTCAAAGCCAGACCAGGCAGTACCCATGAGACTCTTTTTAAAAAAAAAAATTATTTTATTGTAAAGATGCTATACAGAGAGGTTATATTTACATGAGTAAGGTAATGAGTACATTTCCTATCGAGCATTGTTACCCCTCCTTTGTTTTTCCCCTACCATCCCTTCCTTCCCCCAATCCCCTATTTCCCCTCCCCCCAAAGTTGTAAAGATCATTTCCAACTTAGTATCTTGTGAGTATCATTGTTGCAGTGGGTCATCCTGTGTCCTTGTTTCAGCATTTTGTTCACCTCCCCAATTAGATAAATGTATATACAAGATGTAGGGTACCAAAATCAAATACGATGATGACAGGGGATATAGCATAGGGGGAAGAACATGCAAAAGAAACAAAAAAAATCACATAAAACATTAAAAACAACAACAGCAAAGAAAAATCTCTGTGTCCATGTCTTGGGGTTCATTTTACTTAGCATCATCTCATAGGGTCACATACTTTTCAGCTTTTCTGCTCATCTGATAAGATTATCCTACACATATACTAATTACTGCAAATAAGGGAAACCATGGGACCTGTATTTCTTTGGGTCTGGCTTACTTCACTTAATATGATTTTTTCCAAGTCTTTCCATTTCCTAACAAATAGGGAGGTGTCATTCTTTCTGATAGAAGCATAGAATTCCATTATATATGCATATATACATATATATATATAAATATATATCACATTTTCTTGATCCATTCATCTGGGTTGGTTCCATATCTTAACCATGGTGAATAATGCTGTGAGAAACACAGTAGTGCTGGTAGCTTTAGTATAGTCTTGTTTGTGATCATTTGAATAAATGCCCTGAAGATTAACCACTCAACCACTGGAAGTGGAACTGTGGCTTACTACCCTTGAGCAAAAGAGCTGAGGAACAACGCCCAGGCCCGGAGTTCAAGTCTATCACCACCACCATCACCACCAAAAAAAAAAAAAAGAAAAGAAAATTTAGGTTTTATGAATACCAAATTTATAACATGTCCAGAGTTGCTTTTTCTCCCAATTTCCCTATCCCCTACAACTATTTGTACCAACATGTGTACTTTTGCTAGTTAACATCAAAATGTCCACCCTCTGAATCTATGATCCCTTCAGGTCCACTTACTGATGGACTGTTTGAGTGATAGAATCAAACCTAGGGTCTTGCTTACACGAAGCACGTCTTTTACTTCTAGGCTATAAGCCCAATTTAGTGGCTGCAATTAGGGCACAGGAATCTTTCCCCAAAGGTGTAAACCTGAGATCTTATGCTCAACTACCTTCATCACAACCACTCATTAATCCTTTTGAGACCCTGCCATGTTCCCTGTTATTCATGAGCGCCACTAACCTCTGTCTACTTCCCAAGCAGAGGCTAAAGTATTTACATTATGATTCCCTTCACAGGTGTGCTCCTTCTCGAAGTCCAAGGGGAGTGAAGAGATCATAAATTCAGAACCCTTCAGGCTTAAAAAAAATCTTGAAGAAATCTGTTTTTTTTTTAATGCAAAACTTTTTATTATATCTTTTAGTTAGTATTCAGCTCCATTAGTCCTGACTTTGACTCTCCCCAGAGAATTGTGAAGATTCAGAAAATGGATGTCCCTGAGTGCCTGTGTTCGGGGCCAGTGCATTTCTGAATGCACTGTCTGTTTGTAGTGAAGATGCCTGTGTATTATTGCAATCCTGATTCCTTTTCCATCTGGGCCTGTCACTAGATGAGGAGTGAGGGAGTTTCCTCAGCTTCCCAATTTCTACACCAAATTCAGGAACTTGAGACTCACACATAAAAAGAATTTCAAGATGTCTCATAAGAATGACAAACTCACAAGATGGGAGTTTTAGCACAAATTTGTTTTGGTATACCAGTGTAAGGGAGGGAGAAATTGGAGTGTTGGAAAGAAATATTTCT